GAGAAAAACATAGATTTGAAATGATTATTCCATGGCAATTTGCAGGTTGAGAAACAATATATTTCCACGGTTTAGAATATGTATAAGCCATTTGAAATGTGACTGGGGTTGGCCTACCTTGATGAATAAGTGCAGGGGGAGGGAAGGGAGTCTGCTATATGAGCTTTTCTTTTAGTTTTGAAGGTTGAACTTGGACTGAAGTTGTCCATTCTTGAGGGGTCACTGAGACAGGAACCTCGATTACAGGTGGCAGTTGCACCACAACGGGTCTTTAAAAGGTGAAAGCTCCCTCAACAGATATCTGGCAGATCGAACAGCATTAATCGTAAAAATACAGCTCCTCGTGGGGCTGTGGGGGCGGTGGTACAAACCACGGCTTTGTTTTGATTGCCTTAGCTGATAAGACTCATCAGCAACCCTATTTATGATTAAAGCTGAGACAATACATAAGAGCTAGCCTGAGTGAAAGGACTTCAATTTTACTTTCATAAAAGGCTTTACTTGTCTACGGCTTGATTTGCATCGGTTTTCTTTTCACTAGACTGCTGCCAGGGATGGACCATTGCTGAGGAATTCTGTTGCTGCCTATCAGTATCAAATAATTAACTGGGGAAGACGAACCTCAGTCTGTCACCATGGAAGAAGAATTGGCTTATCACTAATGTCAAAGACCTTGAATGCTAATTTAGTCGTTTTTGGTAGCTCTAGCTACAGAAGAGAATTCAGTCTGCTTATTAAGTGATAAAGAATGCTAAAATCAGCTAAAAAATTTCATGTAAATTTGAACTAGAGCAAGGCCAACGGGGTAGCAATCAATCGGCTATTGATGGCCAAATGAAACAGGACAATATCCCAACCTTCATCAGAAAGAACAAATGGCGCATTCGTTCCATTGTCAAATTTTCAGCCTCAAACTCAATGGGATTGCATTCTGCCAAAGGCTCATCAATTTATATAAGAATAGAAGAAATATTTGCTTGTTGAAAGGAAAGGCTTGTATTGGAAGATAACGATGGAGGGAACAAGAAAGCGAGAGTGCAATTAATATGCAAGACCTTTAAAGGTCGTGGGACTCAAGTAGCTATATCATGTGCGGAATTTATTTTGGCCTGTTATGATAACATGAGGACACGTCTAACTTAAAGCCAAAGAAGAATATATGAGGATAGGAGATTTGCTTGCAGCATAAAATCAAAACAAAACTAATGATCTGGCAAATGTGGAATAGCGACTGTTCAAAATTTGATACATACGTTTCATGGCTTCATTGGAACTACTGTAAAACAGGCGTTAGTAGACGTGGCTCACAGGCTTAATTTGTAACAGTGGTGTCCGAAAGTGTCAAGGATATCCATTATTCTACCAGGATTAATTGCCATATTTTCTAAGTCATAAATGATTTTGGTGGAAATATAATAATGCCAATTAGAAACTGTATATAAGACAAGCTCACCGGAAAAAATAGCAAGCTGTGTGGTGAAGGTGAACGTTTTCATTAACTTCATTGCACAACAAGACAACACCAAGGGGCTGGACTGCTGATGCTATTATGGAAATGAAACTCTGCGAGAAATTGAGCAGGTAAGAAATGCCCACAAATAGAACAGACAAACCCCACAAAATAAGAATGATCAGTCCGCTTCCTAACATTTAGTAGTACAGAAATGATCCATTTTAACTGCTAAATTTAACTGAGATAATACAAAAGCAATCAACGCTTTCTGCTGATGAAACCTTTATTTCCTCTTCTCCCAAACATGATCGATGATTCCATCCCAGGCTAGAAAACTGAAACCCTTCCCTTCAAATAAAACTTGGCCCAATCAAACAAGCTAAGAATGGAGCCCAAATAGGGTAGAGGAAGAGCAGACAGAAAAGATGGTGTCCTTTGTGTCTTGGGTCCTAACTCCTAAGAGTCAGAAGAAACATTGTTTTCTTGAGGTTGGGATTTAACTTCTATTTATTAACATTTTCATCCAACAATATATCTCCGGACGCCATTGTGATGGTTGAAATTAAATAAAGGAAACGTTCGGACAAAAGCAGGGAAAACACCTATTGGGCAAAAGCTAACAAGTGCTTCAATTTTGGTGATGAACAAGGAAATGTACCATCTCATTATGTGTCTTTGTATATTCAATTCGATGAACTTTCTGGGACATTAGTCCCTGTCTTATAAACGTATTATCCGACTGAGGAACACTTTGTTGAAACAATATTCTTTTCAAATTGGGTTGTCAATTAACACCTGTCAAGAATCATATGGGCCTACCAAGTCCGTGAGATAGTAAGTATATTGGGGCAAATCCAACGAAGAAAGTCCATAATGTTTAAGTACCCTTCTTGGGGAAGAAATCCGTGAGAAATTGTATAGTTGCAAAAAGCTGTATGTTTACTAGGTAGCATAAAGCCCATAAGAAAACCCATTTTTCTGCCAAATGCTACAAGACAACTTGGGTTTTTGAACTTCCTGCTTCCACTGTAAATTTTGTTTTGCTCGGCTGGAAGCCAGAGCATGTAGACAATTGAAGAAAATACAATTTATGTTCAACTTGGTATGTGGAAGCTTTTATACATCCTCTACTATTCAATTCACTTGAAAAGTTTCTGACACAGCTCTTCCTTCCGTTCTGTATGATTTGGCAGATTGACTAATGCTGCAAAACATGTAATTTTGTATTGGCTGCAGTTGAAACACTTGAGGGAAAACACCAAAGAATAGAAACCTTTGCAGACTGAACTGCATTCCTCTTCACAGCTTTTTGGTTTTTTCCAATCTTTTTTTGTTAGAACTGAAATATAAAGAAATAGCTTCTAGACGTGGATCAAGGTTATTGCCTTAAAAATTTTATTCATGTCCACTTGTAGTATGCAAAAAAATTGTTAATGTATAAATATCGAAAATATAATAAAATTTAGTGATTAATTACATTTGATACTTACGAAATCAATTCACGAAACACTCATTAAAATATGAGAAGACTCCTATAACACTTTAGAAGCGATCTTAGAAGACCGGATGAAAAAAAGTAAAGAGAATGATTGTGAAAATGCCTCTTCCTAATAAATATAACTGTTTATTTTTAATAGACATAATTATTTATTTTTCAACAAATATAATTATTTAAATAAATTTAATAATTTAAATAAATATAACTCGAACAATCATAATAAAGACTTTCTTTTCTTTCATTATTCTATTATTATTGTTTAAAATGTACAATAATTTTAACTAAACTGAATAAAGTATATTCTTGGCAAAGCACCCTGCACTGCAAATTTTTCTTCAAAATTCATATTCCCAGTAATTATTTTTAGAAAGTGTTAGATGGTTTTGTATTTGTGTCTTTTCACTTTCAGATTTGTCCCATTTAACCAACAGTGAAATCCTAATATGATTAATAATATAACAGCTAATATAGGTCTATTATTCTTTCTTACAACCAAAGACGAAAAGGAATACCTCATGCACATATCTTCGTGAAGAATTTTTGAGCTACGAGCTGCCATAAATATCTTGTGATGTATCTAAGTAATTGGGCATTATTGGAGGGTTTCTGGGATATGTCCTTTGATTCCTACATAAAGTGAGAAGGATTCATTTCTTAAAGGAACCAGTTTAATCTGTCATTTTCCAAAGGAATGAAGAAACTCAATGGAAGCAAACCATCTAGGATTTTACGAGTCTTTGAAATTGTCGACTGTCCATTGCAAAAGCCCATCAACACACTCTTTGGGTTATGATTTCAATAGTGTGCAGCAAGCTTTGTGTTACAGCCCTACAGGCAGAACCATTCCTCCAGACGAGACGCGGGAAAGAAAATTGGCTAAAAAAATAAAGGAGAAACCGAACTTCAGCTATCATTCAAGGCTTGCAAGCTGTCAGGGCTCTGAACTCTTAATAGCAATTTAAAATTAGAACTTGAATCTTCAAATTTTGGAAGAGAAATAAGAAGTTAGAATTTATGAGACGAAAAGATGTAGGTATTGTCTTTATCGTATTTTAAAATTTTGAATTTTGATAATATTTAATTTTAAATAATGCTGTCAGAAATTGATTGCAAGCCACGGAGAACAAGAACATTTTCCTGCCAGAAATCTAGCACCAATCCATGCATTCATCTCCTTCTCCGCAACATTGGATTCATTACATAATCATTAAATTCTTCTCAAAAACATTACAGAGATGAGATACATGTACGGAAAAGATGATGCCAATCATCCATGGAATCAGGATGTTTTTCTGATTCCAATAATTCTGGTCGTCGTATTAGGTGACATGCCTCACGTGCGTAGGATTCTATTAAGCACAACAATCGTAGGTTAGCTCCGCCCTCAATGCGCACAAACACACACGTAGGGCTTTTTTACTTGAATTAATTATTATAACAGGGCGGGGCATGTAACTTGATAAAATTAATGGAAAGTATAATCCTCATGCGGCGACTTTTGCACCTGCCGCCGTGGCTCGAGACCCTTTTATTCTTTCCACGTGTTCCTCCCTTCCAAAATTATTAAAAAATTAATAAATTTCTATTTTTAAAATTTTAATTAAGAGAATGTGATTGTAAATTTGAGGAAAAAAGATTGAATTTTTTTTTTAATTTTCCAAAAATGCATGCAAAAGAAAAAACAAGTTTAGAAAGAAAAGAAATCTGCGCCCACGTAATCAGCCTCAATAGCTGGGACCCTTTCGCTTTAACCTTTATGCGGGCCGTTCATTTAGCAAACCATCGCAACTCCACAGCCTCTTTGTCCCCGTGCATGTGAGGGGAAGAGGGTTAACGTCACGGGCCTGTTGTGAACATTTTCACTATATCATGTGGGCTCTACATGATGATTACTAGGATCCAACGGTGATGAAGAAGGCATTGATATACGCTATCTCACCATCCTGAAACGTCAGGCGGTAAAGTTGTTTGGTCCATACGAGGAACCTTCTTGGAACCTAGTGGAATTTGTTTTTCTGACTTGTCTATATATACACGGAGCATTTAGAGGAAAAGAGAAAACATGAGCGGTTGAGAAGCAAAAGGCAAAAATACAGAATTCATGGGGTTGTCAGAAGCAGACCATGGATGCAAGAAGCACCCACATCACCAGGAAAAGCAAGGGGTTTGCCCATCTTGTCTAAGAGAAAGACTGTCTCGCCTTTGCTCTGCTTCACATAAAGAAGGTTCAAGAGTTTCTCCTTCCTGCTCTACTTCACTGCCTTTTTCTCCAGCTTACTACTCCTCGGCCTCATCTTCAAACTCTGCGTCCCCGGCTCGACACAGTTTACATAAGCCACATGGTCCCGAGGTGATGGGATCGTTATCTTTCATGGTAAAGGTTGGTAATGGTTTGAAGAAGAGTAGATCGATAGCGTTTGTACCGAGGAACTTGGATGACGAAGAGGTTAAGGATGGGAAGAAGAAAAAAGGGTTCTGGTCCAAGTTGCTTGGTTTCAAGGGGAAGAAGGATGTTCTGACGCATTCAACGAGTATGAGAATGATTGCAAGAGTGAAATAATTTTGTAGGGGGTTCAATTTCAAGGAATGAAATGAAAGGGAATGATTTCAATAAGTTGTGCATAGTTTTTCTCTTATTTTCTTTATTTCTTTCTTGTGGGATTGGAATGAATGTTTAAATTAAACAGGTTCGAATCCTTTGAAGTATGATTGTTGATTCTTTCTTCTGTAAATCTCCATCGAGAGAAACAAGCCTTGAGTTTTGAATCTTGCCTAGCTGATGATGTCTTTCCATAATTCATGCATATCAAGAATGTTGACTTTTTTTCCAGTTGTGATTAGGATCGCCATCTCTACACAAATAGTTATTTAAAAGTGAGAGGATACGACTAGAAAGAGCCGTGATTTATCATACAACATGATTTTAGCTTGTATCGGTTCGCAAGTGACCACATGGTTAATTGTGAAAACAGGGTTCCAAATTTCCACATTGTTCTCAGCCAATTTCGTTGAATAAATTGGGAACAATAGAAACGATTGTCCATGTCATGCTCTGATTCTGCTTATCTCAATTTTTAGAGTTTTAAACCCTGCGGATTGCGAACCTTTTCATTGACCATTTTTGTCACATCAGCTGCACACGTGCTATTGATTCTAAGGACATTTCTGGAGGTTGTTCAGATTATATTATCATTGTTATAATATTGTTATACATTAAACAATAGCGGAAAAAAGAAGAAAATATATAAATACATAAAGAAACAAGAACTTCCCAGCGATGACCTGATCCCTTTCTCCTCTAAACTGAACAATTTAAGTAGATAGCTATTTTCAGTGCCGTCAATATTGAAAATCATCATCACACTCATGAGTAGACTTTTCACAGGGGAGAATGGTCTTCAAAACAGAAATGGATTTTAGATTGTAGCAAAGGATGTACAGCACCACGTGTAGGAAGCTGCCTGCCTAGATGTTCCATGTTCCATGTTCCATGTTACGATTCAAATTACAAAATTTGCTTACGCAAATACATTTTTCTTGAAATCATGGGGAATAATTATTTTTCCCCCCTTGTATTTGTCTGAAATTTCCAACTGCTGACATAAGTGGCGCAGTCGCAATACAGCAAAACATCCTCCCTGGACTCCTACCTGCTATATGGGACCGCAAGAATTCAATGACCCTTATGATCTGTACATATCGTATCACAGTTTCTACAACAAGCAACAAGCACATTTCTCCAGATGAATTTAATATCAACTTGTAGAACCCGTGACCTTGATTTCTGTCTAATTCTCGTCTTCATCCTCATCAATATGGTCTACAGATGGCCGTTTCAATCTCTGGAATATCTCATCTAGGGACTCAGAATCAGATGAGTTGACTCGGGAGACAAGTTTGGTTTCCTGATTCTGGCGTAGGGGAAGAAACCTTTTTGCCTCCATATTTGCTTTAAAATTTTGAAAACCAGATTTCATTGATAGCCATGTTGAGGCCAAACCAGAGGATGGCGCCCCCTTCTGGTTACTAGAATGAGATTTTCCCGCTTCAAGCAATGAAACCTTAGCAGAGGTTATGTTACTCTCCGCCGTTTTAGGATGTGGCACTTGTCGACTCTGTTCTCTCATGGCAGCATACTTGCTGCTGATGGCTTCTCTGCTTGTGCCATATTTATGGGTCACTTCTTTCAGAGGTCTTGATGGAGATCCCTTCATACCATCAGCGGCTGAAGTGGCTGTTGCCTTCATTTCAACAACAGTACGATCCTGAGCAGTTCGCATCTAGTCAGAATCTGAACATAACTTAATTATAGGTTTTACACAAAAATAGAAAAGAAAAACCAAATTGCAGAGTAGGAGTGAATCTAAAATTCATAGGACCTTTTGGTAGTTGTACTATTAAAAAAGGTAAAAAGAATGCTTCTATCTTTTAAGATTGGTTACATACTGCAATTTTGTTGCCAGACTCAATATCAGCACCATTGAAATTCCTTGCTAATGGGATAACTTGTTCGCCAACCTTGTGCCCTTGTTCAAGACAAGATCGTTCTGGAAAGAGGACAACATATTAATTCTTGAACATACATCTAAATAATTTTTATGCAAGGAATTTGAACCAAGATAAAGAGCAGATATTTGTATAATTCAAAAATCAAAGCTACTCCTTTTGTCTGCTAATAACAATCCATTCTATCATTTACCAGATTTGGATGAGCATTAATTATGAACTATCATAACCTTTATTCTATCAAAAAGTGTCACATAAACACCACAAACACAATCACTAAGAAGATATAAAAGGTCATATCATGCATATGTCCAATATATTTCTTAAATTGCTCAATTTTTACTATTACTACTATTAGAAATGGAGAGAGTATTTATTAAGTAGTATACAGTGAAAAGATATTACCAAACAGGCAGCGCACACAATTGAGAAGCAAAAAGAATTTGGCATCCTCACCCTTTTGTAGGATAATTAATCCTGACGGATCAAATCCATCCATATCATCTGCCTCAGTTTGAAATCTAAGTCTCTTCCAGTTCCCAAAGAAGCCAACTACACGGTCAAAGAAATTGCTAGCAACTAACAAGGTATATAAAACCATAATAAGCGGATAAATATTGTTGAACCCTTCTCCGAAAAAGGGGACAGCATCATCAATGTTCCCCATTCGCTGCAATGAAAAGTTCAAAAGAAATATATCAAAAACTATGTAGGGAATCAAAGAAGATTAGCACACATGCCTTGTTTAATAATAAAGAACCTTGGAGCATCTCCAGTTTTTAAGCACAGTGGAAATAAAAAGATAAACTTAAAAAATTGGAGCAAATATGATATCATAGAATTTACTGTGCTCACAAAAGTTTGGACCTGAAGGTTAAGACAAGCTTTAGATCAGACATAACATTCATAAAACAATATGTCAGGCAACCAATGAAAAAAGAACACTGGGAACCAAATGCTGCTTTCTGAAATTGCCGGTGATATTATGTACAGGTACCCTGATTTCCTTATAAAAGTTCTAAAAATTACCAAATCACTGGTAACTTATCAAGTTGAGACTGAAAAGCAAATGAGTTCCTTTTTCTGTCGCATGGCAAATAGTGACAAACGCCAAACCAGCAAATCAAACTACACACACTATCACTTCTCTTTTCCCCCTACAAACCAAACAGGTTCAACATTTTGACACAAATTAAGAAGATAATTTAATTGCCACCTCACTCATGTGAAATGCTGATCTTGCAATCAACATGGACAAGCCATATTTTTCTCTTATCTTTCTTTTCAAGTTTCTGCTAACACTGGAGTCACTGGATGTAAATGTTTAACAAGCACTGAATGCTATAGGAGAAGTACCTTTTCAAATGTGGTTTTTCTACCACCAAGGCTAATGAGATTGAGAAAGTTGTATGAAATTGGAGGAGCATATCGAGCAACCATCCTAGTAGAGATGTTAATGAGTAAATTGAATTCTATATGAAGAAAAGGAAATAAAAGCTAAAACACATAACAATAGAGCTCGAAGGAAAAACTTACGAACATATCATGAGCAAGCTGACTGAGCTAGTCTGCCGTGGTGTTAATGAGTAAAACATTAACATTCCAATCTTGAACAAGGAATAATACGTGCAGATGCACATATACATCAAAGGTACAAAAGCAAAGACCTGGAAGAGAGAGTAATCAGCATAAAAGTAGAGCAAGAAGACGATGTTGCAGAAGAGAGAAAGGAAATATCAAACGAAATATATGATAACAATGGCAGTAGTTACCAACAGCATGCAATAGTGAGGCAATTTTTGAAGCGGAAACATGTACAACGCAAGAAAGAAGAATAACAACCACAGATTGCCAAATTGACATTTTACAAGACCTACTGTTACTAGTCCAAACAAATAATAGAATCAAGATTACAATATCTCCATGAAATTATAAAATTTGGATCTCTTTACAGGAGAAAAATACAAACTTGTACCTGCACAAGCACCTCCTGCTTCTTTACTGAATTTATAAGGATAGAGAAAAGAGACAGGTCAACTCCTCTAGGTAGGAGAGTAGCCTCAGCTAAAAGAATTGCTGCAGACATGATACCAAGTATAATAGCCAAGACCTTCTTTAGTTGTTTTCTTAGGATGCATCGCCAAATAAATTCTGCAAAAGAACCACCATTTCATTCAAGCATTGCAGTTTAAAACGTATTATAAAACAATTTACTAAGCAGATTTCTAATCCATAATTGAGGAAGGATTTTATGAAAAATATCCTACTGTTGCAATCCAAAAAGCCTTTCAAGGATGGCACTACAAACCGTGGGATCTACAGAAACCCCAACAGTATTACGAAAACATTTTGATTCAAACAGGGTATGTATTGTTTAAACACTATGCAGAAAAAGATGACCCCAATTTATTACTCACTCAACAGCCCAAATTTTGGAAGTACTAAGGGCCATTGACTGGGGAGAAAACCCAAACTCACTTCAAAAATTTCGTACCAAATTTACAATGAGAGCAGACCACCATATGTTCTTCAACTATTGGGACTACCAGCAAGCTTGGTTCATATA